ATAAATATTTTTTTACAAATTTTAAAAAAATTATATATCAGATATAGTATATATATATATATATACATATATATATATAATTATTATAAAATTAAGTTAAACACAATAAACATTTAAGTTGTGACCAGTAGAGTTAACCTAGTGGTTGGATGGGGAAGGAAGGGGTTGAGGTAGTTAGAAACATGAAGACTTACGTTCAATTCTCATTGCGATCATCTTTATAATTTTTCCTATCTTTAAAAAAAAATATTTAAGTTGTACATAACATTGACTAATATACTAGTTATTGTATTAAATGTCAATGTACATTAGTGAAAGTTAATTTCATTTCTAATTTGAAAATAACACTATGTATATCCATATTACTGCCCTTTTTTATTCATTAAAATCGAGCTTAGTATAAAAAAAATTTACGACATTACGCACTTTACTCAACTTAGATAAACTCATTGGTTATTTATATTACTATATCTATTTATTAATATCATATTAACTCAACACTCATTTACATTTTTTTTTTTAGTTTTTACCCCTTTTAATAAGGGTAGACACAAGTTAGAATCAATCCAATAAAATTAAATTTAACAAAAAGAAAAAATGTAAAATTAATTTAGACTATCGAATCAATTAGGATTTAAAAATTAGAGATCTAATTAGTTTGGATTAGATGTGAAATTTTGATATGTAAGAAATTAAATCAATTTATCTAATTAAATAAAAATTTATTAGGTTTAAATATGTTTTTAGTCCCTCAAATTTAGGATAAATTTATTTTTGACCCTTCAAATTTGAAATTATTATTTTTAATTCTTGTAATTTCAAAAAAAAATTATTTTAGTTCTTATATTAAAATTTTGTCAAAAATTTATCAAATATTATTGTATAAAATCTACCTATTAGTATCTTTATTAGTAAAAATATCACAATAAATTTAATTGATATTATATAACCGTCTTAATTTGTTACTTTCAGATATGTTATTAGTGATATGAGGAAATAAAATAATATTTTTAAAAGTTATAAAAACTAAAAATAATAATTTTAAATTTAAGAGATTAAATATAAATTTATCTTAAATTTGAAAGATTAAAAACATATTAAAGCCAAATTTATTATTATTTATTTATTTATTATTATTATTATTATGATCAGATTTGGTTTAGATTATAAAATTTTGAGTTTTTAGAGTAAAATAAACCCATTTATTATCTTACAATTTCTTGATGACTTATTTTATAGTGTTGATATAATGAGATATATATATATATATATATAT